CTTTAATTGATTTCATTAGCAGCAATACTTTATTTTGTATTATGTATTTATTTATTTGCTTTGCTGTAGCACCTAGGAGCCACAGGCATAGACCAGGACCCCTCTGTGCTAGGTGCTGTACATTATTATGGGTATTTATTGGGTATATTACAGTAGTACCTGGGCATCCCAGTCATTGACTCAGAGCCTTCTAGTCTAAGTACTGTATAAACACAGAACAAAGGGACAATCCCTGTCCCTAGGAGCTTGTATTATCACCCCTCTCCAGGGAAGTTTCTGTCAGGGAAATATTCTTCTCCTATAGACACTTCTGGGTCAGACAATGCGATTTTTCATTCTAAGTCTGGTCTATCACCTTCACTCCCTGGGGTTGCTGTTCAAGGACCCCTGGAACTTTTTCCCTAGTAAGTAACTCTGCCCCCTAAGCTAGAGGTGGCCGATCTCCTGTCCTCCTCCCTTAATAGCAACAGACAGGACTGCACCTTCTGGCAGCCTCCATCTGAGGCCTGCCATGCACAGAGGGTTTGGGAGAGGGTAACTGTGGCACTAGCTTTTCAGAAGCAAATTCTTAGGCCTTTTTGACACAGACAAGTTTCCCTCACAGCCAATCTTATATAAGAAACTTTCTCTCTTTGTCTGTTTTCCTGATTTCCATGTCCCCACAGGAATCCTCAACCATGGCTCACTCTACTTACATCCCAGATGTATGGGGAGGAAAGCAACACCAGTCAGCAGCCCCTAAGGAAACCCACAGGGACAGGGGGCTAGTCCAGTTGTCTAAATACCAGGTCTTATTGTTCTGTAAAAGATCTTGGTGTCCCCACAAGAATTCCAAACATAAATGTATCCAAATTATAGGACAAGGATAGTAGCTCATATGAGAAATCCTAAACTGAAAACCAGCATCTCCACAAAGAATCTCAGCCTATGTACACCAGTACACAATTGTGACTCTGGCTGAGTCTTACCAAGGGACAAAGGGCCAGATTTTCAAAGTTATAGATGCCCAAAGAGGCAGATAAGGTCTTAGTGGGATTTTCAAAAATTCTTAAGCAAGTTAGGCACCTAACTTCTATTGAAAATCAAAGTGAACATTTTGGGCATTAGCAGTATGTTGTCATGAAAAGTTTCCTTTTGTAAAAAGACTTTTTTAAAAAAAAAAAAAAACAATAAATAAATAAAAAATGTAGACCAGATCCCCCTCATACACAGTCCTGACCCCCTTGTCAGACACTGAGCCTTTGGTTTCCACCTCAGAAGAGGGCAACATGTCTCCTAAACCCACCAGCACTGGTATGCTGGAAAGGGAAGGTGAGAAACGGCAGAAATCCAGTCATCCACTCACACTGGTCTCTCCCATGTAATTTTCCAGATTGAGATAAATGAACACTACGGGACTGTGCTGAGCAAGAACAAAATGACTTCCCAAGAGATCTGCCAGACGCTGCTCTCCCAGCTGTCAGCTGACATGGAGAAAAAGCTCAGAGATGGGGTTTACATGCAGCCTGGTGGGCATGAGCTGTATGTGAAAGACCAGAAACAAGTGGTGGAGAGTTTCCGGAGGACACCTAACAAAGGAGTCATGGTGAGTGATCAGCAGGGCCAGCAGAGTTATTCAGGGGACAGCTGGAGCACTTTGGCTTTTGTATGCTCATGAACAAGTCACAAACTGTGTGCCTATGAAAAAACATCATATTTGGCTGTGTGCATACGCTGCATGTTAGATGCCTGGTTGAGTGTTGCCAACCCCACATAGAAGCAAGTCATCAGAGAAACCCTGAAAAGTCACTAGGTGTTACTATTTAAGCACTCCAAATGTGTCAAAAATGTCCCTAAACAAAATGTCCACAGATTTCAACAGAGAACTATATATACACTCCCACATGGAATGGTCAATTTTCACTATGAACATAACACTGAAATAATGCATTAGTGTATATAGAAATTCTATATTCACTTTAAATGTTTTTAGACAGTAAATTATATTCTAACAGGTGTTTGTCATAGGATTTGTCTACACTGGCAATTGAACTACAAAACTTTTGTCTTTCAGAGGTGTTAAAAAAAACCACACCCGCAAAAGACAAAAGTTTTGCCAACAACAAGCGCCGGTGTGAACAGCGCTTTCTTGGCAGAAGCGCTCTCCTGCCGACAAAGCTAACCCCACTCATTGGGGGTTGATGTTTTTTGTCATCAGGAGAGCTGACAAACAGCAGCTACACTGCACAACTTTTAGCAGCATGGCTGTAGCGACACTGCCGTGTTGCTAAAAGCTGTCTAGTGTAGACATAGCCATAGAGTTTTTAAGGGCATGTCCTTGGAAGGAATTGCATTTGAGGGCTTGTTCTGTGAGGCTGTGAATGAGAGAAAGGGTTTGACTGGCGCTCTGGTGGCAGAATAAATCCTTAGCAAATAACGGGGGCTCAGCTTTGATTCCTTGGTGGTGGGGATGGAGTGAAAAGCCAGATCTAATGGGGAGGGGAAGCTGAAAGAAGGGAGGATACAACTGTCTCGGGGAAAAGTTATGATCTTCTGCAGGTAGTGGAGTTAATTACTGACGGCATGGCTACACGTGCAGATGTAGAGCGCTTTGAGTTAAACCAGCCTTCGGAGAGCACAGTAGGGAAAGCGCTGCAGT